CTGTTCACATGGCAACACCCTATGTCATCAGCGAAAAACTCGATCCTCTCTCACCCCCCCCCCGAGTTTTCTCCTCTGGTACAACATCCCTCCTCCATCCTACCTATCATCTTACTGACGTTTCTCAACCTGACAGCAGTTTTTCTAGAAATATCTCAGGTTCCCCCAAAATCCAAGCGGGCAGAGGGGGAGGTCGCCACCAAACAACTACTGAACTGAGTAGTATTTGCGTAGGACCATGATCCGCCATCAAGTGAAGGGAGGCTGCGTAGCAGAGAAAAAAATCTTCTTGAGAAACTTTTCTTGAGCCTCACTACTACCCCTTCAGAAAGCCACCACCGAATACGATCCCCACCCAATGAGGATTCATCAGCGCACGACGAGCCCTGATTGTCACGTTGTTGCCGCCACTTCTTCGGCGAAGAAATTCCCGTTTACTTCCCGTTTACTTATTTCCAAGAGGAGGTCAAACTGAAAAGAGACGAAATGGTGAGATACTGCTCAGAAAAGAATTTCAACAGCCCAGTGGGTCAGAGTGGATGGTTCGATCCCCGCGCCCAGTACCGCGCTATGGGAAATGGAAGCTCTCAAAGACAAGTCGTGCAATCACATCCGAGGACGGTTCTTGCTATTTGCGAGGCGATTGGGCCCGCAGCTGTGGTAAGGTGCCACTTTCCCCGCTCAAAGATGCACGGGAACTGGGCTGTGGATAGTTGTACCGAGAGTTGTCTCCACACTTCGCCTTTTCTATTCTCATGGTCAGCAGTTGCATCGATACTGAAGTCCCACAGCGAAACACGTACTCAGTGGTAGAACTCAATCAGAGGTGAGAGTACGCAGGCAAGTAGCACGTTTGGTTATGATTAGGCGTTTGACTGGCCCTGCGGCAGCGGGGGCAAAGTATGGAGACGGTATCACTGCCCTCCAGCTCCGTCCATGTACACTCTTGCCCAGGGAAAGTGACCCGCTACTGCAGCTACGAACCCGTTCTCACCACATACTGCAAATACTGTTATCCACGGTGGTGAGTGTACAGTTTATCGTTAACCATTAGGGTGTCCCCCTCCCAAACGCTGGGAATTGTAGCAAAAGCATCAAGTTATTTCCAGAAGTCAGGTTTTGGGTGGTTACAATCACTCATAGTGAAGGCGGTACAAATTTGAGCAGAAACCAAAGCACTCGAATAAATGGGATAAGTCTCAGCACGGCAACGCGACCGCGCGCGGAGACCATTGGAGGCTCTTCTTCACGGTATTAAGAAGAAGGGATTGAAAGCATTCAATGTCAGCTTGTTCATTTGTCGATGTTGTGCCGAAGTGTTGTTCCATAAAGGAACTACTGAGTAGTATCGAACTGTATGTTCCAGTTAGGGTACCGCTTGCGAGTTCTCTTTCCTTCCTATTTCCTTCTAAAGATTCTTTTGGAACATAACTTCTCAAACAGGCTATTTATGAACGCCTAATTTCTTTTTTTTCAAGGGCGTTGTACCTGCCTTGTCGATTTCACTAACTCCCCGACTCCTCTCTTCATCATCACTTCACTTGATCTGATGCTTGGTTTTTCGTGGGCGGTGGTGGGTAAGTGTGAAGCGGATTTTTGGTATTCTACAATTTATCGGATTTATGGAAAGTAAGAGATTTGGGCATTTTTCTCATTGCTTTAACCATTTTAGTTATTCACTGTAAGTGCACGAAGGCAGAAATACGTACACGCATCCCCCCCGGAGATGGAGTGGGCGTGGCGAAGGCAGCTCATTTGGTGGGATATTGCTGTTTTGTGGCACTTGTTATAATGATTTGTCCGGCGGTTTTTGCCAACGTCATTGGTGGAAGGGCAGGAAGGGGGTGTGGTCAAACGTCTTTTCGTAGCCCTTCAACCAATGAAGCTGGCAACAACCATCCGCTCAAGCGATCTGCCCATGCTTTTTATTGGAAATATCCCAAAGAATATCCCAATAAATGCCTCCAAGTCATCTTTGAAAGCAGCGTGGGCACGCCTTCCTTACATCCGGGTTGCGAAGTCTGTATGTCAAAATATTTAATATTCACCCTACCGACATTGACCTGGTTCCCTTAAAGGCACATTCCGCGATAAAATAAGGCCATGACCTCACGATCCGGAAGGCGATTTTTGATGCCGATGGACACCCTTAGGCCCACCCGACCCTCACCGGCTGCTAGCTACTAGCTAGTAGCCACTATGTTATCTTTCTCTATAACATTTCGGACTGCTTTTTCTGCTGCTTTTCTCCGCTAATCAGATACTTAGCACTTTTTTGTGCCTATTTGAGTTCCGTTTCCCGCAATTTGCGGTCGCGAACTGTGCCTTTAGTATCGCTCGGAGGTTCTAAAGGCACATGCACAGAAGCTTTCAGGTTGAAAATTTGAAAGTAAAACCACAGCTATTCTCCCGTTGCTTCGTTTTCTCCCATTAGAAAAAGGACATGCCAGTGAGGAATGCACAGGGACAGGGTATCGTCGTCTATTTTTATCACCCGAACTGCTACTTGTGCACTGTGCCTTGAATCGTAAAATGTTTGGCCATTATTTCATAGCAAATTCCAGCATCGCCTTGATGACTGCATTATACGTACGAGGCACCAACGAAAGAGCTCGCCAATACCGTCGTAATATCGTGCGATACTGCACTCACTCAAAGCGCTACTTCGGGCGGTCTGTCACAATATAGAAAAAGTTCCGTTTAGTGCTATAGAGGCCGCGGAATAAACAACGTCTCTGTACTAGGCAAATAAAGGAAATGAAATGTTTGCTGGATGAAATATGACATTATCTGCCTTTTTTTAGGTCCTTGTTTTCCGTGATTTGTCAATGAAATGTCGTAAGCGTTTCCCGACGCTCGATACCGTTGCTGCAGCAGGTTTGTCAAATTATAAGGCATTTTTCGGCTATGAAGATTTGTTGGAGACCGCCGGCTCCAATAAATCTTCATAGCCATATATTCTTCCGACCAATGCTATAAATATACTCGAGTAATAAAGAAAGGAGGAAAATTAAAGAAGGCATGAAAATGATGAGCTCTGATGGAAAAAAGTGATAGATAGCGGTTCAGGGTTTATGATGCCACATGAGAAAGAGAACTTCGACGGAATACAGTACAACTATAACAAGTACTTTTTACCGTTCAATTGGGCATGGGCCTTGATTTATCGAGCGAGAAAGGAGGGACTAATTGAGAGCGACTACTACGTGACTATACTTTCCGAGGTTTGTTGTTCTTCTCACCTTTCCCAAAGAAGGGTTGAAGTTTAACGTCTGCGTTGATTACCTTGACAGTTTGATTAGCGTGGGTTATTGTATGGAGCTAAAACACGTCCGATCACTTCAGTGGTCCTGATACAGTAACTACGGCCGGCTCAACTGTTTGGTTGGCAGGCCGCTGAAGCTCATAAAGCAATCGGAGCTCCCTGCCACAAGAACCTCTAAAGAATTTTTCAGGAAGTGAAAAAGTTTCGTACTGACTTGGCATGGTTGTGTAATTATGACTGGGTACCGTTGCCGATGATTTATCCGACAATTGTCTGTCTAGCCGTACACACCTACTTTTTGGTAGGAGTAATCGCTAGACAATATGTCGAAGGTTCAGTTTACGAAAGCGATATGGTGAGTGATTACTGGTAATTCTGCCATACTTATGATTACTGGCAAACACCAGAAAACAACGTTCAATAGAACTACGCGCCATTATCACGGTGACAAGGGCCTCGTGAGCTCAGGTCATCGAGAAGGCTAAGTCTGCGCCTTTCCTGTGCAGTTTTAAGTCGCGATTAGAGCCCCCTTAAGCAGCGTTCAGACTTCGCGACGGCAGCGCTTCGGTCGCGCATTCGACGCGATCGATGCAGTCGAAAGCATGCGCATCGATCGCGTTGAACGCGCGACCGAAGCGCTGCAGTCGCGAAGTCTGAACGCTGCCTTAGTGGTTGTGAACGCACGCTAACCGAAAGCGGATTGAACATTTCGCTGATTTCGGAATGTCCAATCCCCACCCTCCCCCTCAAGTAGATATAGTTAAGTTGGGTGGATCATCTCATGGATAACCCAGCTATAGCATATCCTCCCAAACTACTTTTGTTTTTTCTTTCTTGAAAGCCCCGGAGG